CTTGGTAGTAAAAGTTCAATGGTTCACAGCCAGTTTATTCAATTATTTAGATTCTATGCTATAAATTAAAGCAGTCCTCAACCATTGACTCTATTCTACAAAGATATTTTGGTCATTTTAAAATTGTTAGAGTGCAATTGCATTTTTGACCCCTGACTGTACCTAACTAAGGCTTGGAGTCCTCTCAACCTAAATAGGTAATATAAATATTGTACATACCTACAGTATATTTCCTTAGTTTTTACCTGACTAAGGAATGACATCGGTAGCCAACTAGGTACCTAAGAAAAAAAAATTCAATGACGTTTACGAAAAAATAAAATTGTTTATTTATTATTGTCAAACGAATATTTTTTTCTTTCTATTTCGAAGTCCACTTGCGTCACTGGTTTACTATTAGAAAAACAGAATTAACATAACATGACGATTGTTATTCTTCGGAAGGGTATAATCAAGTCACCAATTACTATAAACTAAAACTATACAAAACGTCACTTAGGAGGTACTTACTTATGACCACCAAATATTCCGTTAGCTTACACCACATATTCTCGCATCAGATAATTTAAGCACGCCGATTAAGAGTAATTATAATTTCCCATCTAAAGTACCTACATTTATAATTCAAAACCTCGTCTACAAATGTATACTAATACTACTAAAAGCTACATACCAAATTGAAACCAAATCGGTCCAGCAGTTTTGCGTAAAAGAATAACAAACATACATTCTTTTCACATTTACAATACCTGTTAGTAGGATTATAAAGCTGAAGAGTTTGTTTGTTTGCTTGAACGCACCAGTCTCCGGAACTACTGGTTCGTATTGAACGATTATTTTTGTATTGGATACACCATTTATCGAGGAAGGCCTTTGGCTTTAAAACAACCAACAGAGGACGGGCATTGGGAAAAACCACGTGGGAGAAGCTAGTAATTACAGAATATAGACAGACATACAAGCAAGTCACAAATTTAATAAAAATATAATGAGGCATGTAGTTTCCTGAGGCATGGTTCGGCCATTTTATGGCTGACTAAGTAACCCCTTGCTCACATAATACGATGTTCGTGCAAATAAAAAAGGAAGGAACACCCCTTACATCCTTCGGGAATTAGCGTCCTTTGCCTTCTTACCGAAACTTTTCCGTCACAGTATTTCGCAAAGCCATTCATTCACAGATGCCACAGAAATGTTCGCCAAATTGTCTTCCAACACGCTAAGGGGACCATGTCATGTTTAACCAACTTTTCCCACTTGTTCATTCAATAGTCCTACTAAACTTTACTTAAACATTACTTAGTGACACGCACAGTTGGTTTTGATTTTCTCAAAATGGTTCGCCCATTATCCTAAACATTCGTCTACGTCAGTTAGATCATTTCCCTATCTGAAATTAAAGCAATTAATTACAGAAGCAGTTCATCGGCTGAAGAAAAACTGGAGTTGTTAATTGATAGTCAAAAATTTATATTAAGACCTGCGTGTTAAAATTCCAATTTCGTTGAGCTGTTTATCCGTCATTAACGGTTGGTACTTATTGATAATGAGGAGGGAAATCGCTTGAGGCTTTTTCATCTTTCCAAGATTATCTTTGCTGCTATATTTATATATCATTATTAATGGTAGAAAAAAAGGAAGCAACGAAACTGGTATCGTCAATTTGTTAGCATTCAATTTGAATATTTTTATACGCGTACATATTTACCTATATTTTTAATTCATGCGCGTTTATTATTATTGAACTTCATTTTGTATACAAATAGGTTAATTACTGACCACCTTTTTTGTGTCGTAATTTTTTCCTAATACGTCTGCTTATTCGATTTTTTAACGATAATTCCTGGTTTAACCTTACAATTAATTAATTAAAAACATAAATCAAACATTTATAAATATCAATAACAAGTTCAAGCTACTTCATACTAACCAACGGCAGTTATAAGTCCCCATAATCTTGCTAGGGGCTGCAATAAGTCCCATAGCTTTGAGGCCACAGACTTTTTAGGAGTTCCAGCTGTTCTCCTGGGCTGAAGACGAGAGGTACTCTGCGTCTGAAGGTCCACCTCCGAATCCGTTTTAATCGTTGGCACATTCATAGCAATGTCATTGCCGATTTATTATTTATGTAGAAAATACTTCTCTACCTTTGCACTAACACATATTTTTAATCACTGTTCTAAATTCATTTAAGTAATTAATTTTAAATGTGATTTAAGTTTATCCATTTTTAAATCAATTTGTTTATTTTACTTAAGTAATTATTTTAATTTTAATTGCACTTATTTAACTTTACGTATTTTTATCAATGTTTACTAATCACATGGCGATCGTCACAGAATTATAATCAAATACTGTTTGGCATGTCGCCCGGTTACCAAAATATCTCACCACCTTGGTTATATGTGCTTACGACCTATATTTATTTAATCATTGTTAAATTATATTTATTTAAATTTATATAAATTATTAAATTCACAAAATTCACTATTATTAAATTGTAAAGTCGAGTTAGTGTTGGGGGAAAAACTCCGGGAAAATTTTGTCCGGGGTTTTCGTCGCGGAACGCGATCGTTTTATCGGTTCGTGCGACACGAGTGCGCGCGTCTGTGTTATACAAGAAACTGAGGCAAGTGAGGCAGGAAGGCAGAAAGCAAATATCTAACATAGTAATATGTACATAGCGTGCTCTCGAGAGTATTATACGAGTGTTCAAGAATCTCGTCGCGTCTCAATATCTCCCCTTTTTAGTAAAGTTCTTATGATGTAGGTACACGGAGACAGTTTCTTTAGGTTCAACTTGAGAGCGATATTATTTTCCTTTCGAGTGTACGTTAAGTACTTAAGTACATACTCGGGTAGAGTCGGTATGAAATCGTAATCAGGTGAAAATTAATGGAATGTTAAATAAAGGGAAGGCGGAAGAGTTTAATTAAAGACAATGATTGAGCCGTGACCATCAAGACTTACCTACTTAGTGATTACATAATTTATTTTGCTCATATATTATATTTCGCCTCATAATTTCAAATTACATGCATAAAATCTAAATGCACGGATGGTTATACTTATAGAAATGTAAGCAAATATGTATGATAAAATATACTATTAAGCATGTTTGATTAGATTTTTTAATTTCCGGATACGAAAAATAATATTCGATAAGCCTAAAAACCCAATACAATTTTTTGAGTTTTGACTTCTATATATAGATAGTCATGCTAAGGAACGAATGGGTCGACTCGAGTGGAGTGGACTCACAGAAAACCGGCGTGAAACAACGCTGGCATTGTATAGCGCCGTTAGCACGATTTTGACGCCTATCCCCATACCCGATCCTCAGATCCTCCAATCCTTTAATGTTCAATGGTAATCTTTGGTCCTTTGGAGTGGTAGCTAGCCGTGTCAATGAAACCTAAGTACCTACATAGAATTGACTTCCCGTAATATTTAAAATTTTCTTTTTTTTTTGTTTCCATAAAAAATGAAGAGCTAGACCAATAAAAAAAATAGTCCAAACTGGAAAGTCCTAATGGCGCTCCCTCGCCTTGGGAGACGGAGGGAACGGTCAGACTCTCACTGACTTAAAGCTAACCTTGGTGCCCCGTCCCACACATGGGCGTGACAGTTCAGGAATCAAATGCGTCCATAGTCCATAGCCTCTACTCGTGGCAGCCTGCCCCAATAGGCACCGATTTAACATGAACAGATAAAATGAGGTGTGGATCTTTTTCGTGCTTAGGCTCGAACCGCGCGTGGACACGAAGGGCGTGGCGTGTGGGCTCAACGGTCGCCACTCTCCCTGGTCCTGTTTGACGGAATGGTGGAGACTTACCTAAGTCCTACTTCCCTGGCCCCATTTAGGGGGTCTGAAAAGAGCAACTTCTGCCCTTCTCCTAAACCGAGTTCATCTGCTACGGATGGAATAGGGATTGGTGATCCCCCTTTGCCTTTCCACAGCATTCTTCTGTGATAATACATCTTCATAAAAGGACGCCACTGAACCCCATAACTCCGCATTGTCGACCATTTTTTGAGTAATAGTCGGCAACTAAAGATCGTCTCTTATCTCTGAGATTAGAGCACGACGTTGTTCAGTCCACGCTATACGCTCCACTAGCATATGCCATGTCGTGTCCTCTTCGCAATAAACACAGTAATGGCAGTGGCTATCTGGCTATGCGAAACAGGAGCATCCCCAACCACCCTGAAAGCACACGCGTCACACGAAATGACAGAGAGCCGTGCCTTCTTCCGGGCCACTCTTCGAGTACTGGTCGAATTACCTCAATGATGTTGAGGCCAGCAGTAGGGCTTCGAAGCCTTTTCCATCACGTGGCCTTACCAGTCAGACACTTCCTTTGTCTCTCTTCCTCACACCACCTATACAGTTATGCGAGTACCTTCGTTAGTACGCACCAGACTCAACTGGACCGAGACCTGGGTTTCTTATAAACAACGACGTACATTTAGGTGAATATAGAAAATAGAGATTTTTAATGACGAAAACAGTATTTTCTATTGTGTCTAAATAAAACGACATTCAACGGGTTAATTCGCGCGAATGAAGTCTCTAGCAAAGAGTTAGAATTGCAATGGTTGTATTAACCATTAAGTCCTAGGAATAAACTCTATAAATACCTGATAACTACGTTAACGACATTGGTAAAATTGTAAATGTAGGCAAACCGTTTATTTGAACTGAAATCTACATTTATGTAGTTTTATTATATTTAGATTTTGCTATAAATGTACCGGGTATTGTTCTAGACCCTATTCAGAATATGATCAGAATCGAAGACATCAATTCGTCTAAAATATTCAGGTTTATTAGCCCAAAGTAAGTTTCTTGTTCCCGTTTCAGAAATTATCAAAAATAAAAATAAAAAGTTTACTAAGTTTTTAAACGAAATATTTAAAGTCTGTAAAACTGACAAATGACTTTTTTGACATAATAAAGATTTTGTTTTCAAAACACAATTTTAGGTTATAAGATTGACATTGTTGGCTATTTCAAAAATTTTAATTGTATTTGACAAACAATCACATTAATATAATGTCCCTCATAAATACTCCTCTATGTGTGTTAATTCGTAATTCGATAATAGCTTCTAGTGTGCCTAGGATGATGACTACCCGGCATAATAGCTACATGGCACCATTCAAAGAATCTTTAAAGTCTGCAAAAAATGTTGTTATTATCACTGGTGATGATATAAGCACAGAATCCGGCGTTCCTATTTACGGTAAAAGCAGTTTTTGGAGGAAGTATCTGACTTCGTCACTTACAACGTCAGGAGCCTTCCTGACATTCCCTAGTTTAGTTTGGGAATTCTATCATTATCGGAGAGAAACAGCAGCAAAAGCAGACCCTAATGAGGTAAACAACTGCAAGTTAATAATACGTACATTCTATTGATACTTTTCTTTCAATTTATAGAATTTGTCTTTTATTTTCCAGGCTCACAAAGCGATAGCGTTATTTGAAGAAAAACACGGGAAAGATAAGTCTATAACTGTGATAACACAGGGTGTAGATGGCCTCCACTCTAGGGCTAACATTAAAAACCTAATAGAATTACATGGCAGTTTGTTCAAAACAAGATGCATTAAGTGCAATGATATTATGACTAATAATGACCACCCTATTTGTGAAGTAGGTATAAAAAATGCCAATTTTTCGTAATCAGTATTAATTAAAATCTCACTGTACATGTACACAAGTTTTTTTGTAATAATATTAATTAAAACTACCATTGCATAATACTTACTGTTTTTAACTAAATCTGTTATTTTTCAGGCCCTTGCAAACAAGGGATCCCCAGATAGCACGGCTACTAATTCAGACATTCCTGAAAACCTACTACCACACTGCAATAAGTCTGGATGTGGTGGTCTTCTTAGACCAAACATCGTCTGGTATGGAGAGAGCCTTGACCCTTCCTTGATTAAAAAAGCAGGTAAATAGTCAAGTCTTGTTCAATTTATTGAAGAATGACATACACTGGATTTTATGTAACCTCATGTGTTACTTATTAGTTATTGAGTTAAAATGGAAGTTTTTTTTTTTCAGAGGCAGCAATATCCGTTTGTGATCTGTGCATTGTAGTTGGGTCGCCCTCAATGCTATTTCCAGCAGCTCACTATGCTCCAGAAGCAATGGCAAATGGGGCAATAACAGCAGAGTTCAATAATGATACTGATACAAACTCAAACTTCCATTATTCCTTTGTTGGTCCTTGTAGCACTACATTACCAGAGGCACTCCACATTTAAACATGTTGTTCTTGAACTGTATTGATTGTTAACAATGAAATACTTGTATGTAAATTATTTTTTGTGTGTTTGTATGAATAGTACTTATTTATTAAAATGTTATTGTTTAGATTGTTTTCTTTAATTGAAAATTTATAAATATGTCTGGCACCTAATCTTGTATCTATACAAGATAGCTAAACATTTTCATTATTGTAGTCTTGTTAATAAGTTTAATATAAAATAGTTTTCTTATTATTCACGCGTCGCGCGTTTGATTCCCGCACGTGACAACTGTGATTCCCAAATTTTGTACCGGGTCTGGGTGTCATATTGTGTGTACCTACGGAATATTTTAGGTATATTTAGTAGAAGCACCCACAACACAAGAGAATCCAGATAGTGAGGCTAAGTTTGTATAAAATAAAACATGAAAGTAAGACTAAGGCTTCAATTTGGAAATTACCGCTCACCGGTCAGGTCACGTACTACCTAACTGGTAAAATCCGGGTGAGCATTGCGATATATGACAACAAGATAAGAACGTAGAAGTAGTTATCAAAAAATATTTAATAACTCTGTCTGATAATAATAAACAACAGCAGCTTAAATTCTGAATGTTATCATAACAGATAAGTCAAAGTCAAGTTGACATCTGTCAATTCTCATCTAAATACCCTAACACCTATATAGCAGTGTTTTCAATTTTCGTACGATTTTTATAATGAATTTATTCAAATAATTTACATTTGAACTTTGTACAATAATTCAATATGTCCATTAGTTTGTTAAGTACAATACGTAGAACGGTAGTGAATAGTAGTTTTCCTAAAATCATGGCTTCGCGGCAGTCTAGTGATATGCCAAAGTTCAGGGAAGCATTAAGATCGGCTAAAGAGATTGTTGTTTTATCTGGTGCCGGTATTAGTGCAGAATCTGGAATACCAACGTTTCGCGGCGCAGGTGGATTGTGGAGAACATACGAAGCAGCGTCTCTTGCTACTCCTGGAGCATTTCGAAGTAATCCTAGTTTAGTTTGGGAATTCTATCATTATAGGCGAGAAGTGGCAGCTAAGGCACAACCGAATGCTGTAAGTAATATTACTTTAACCCAATATCATTAAAAATGACTGCACTTCTCTGTAATGAACCTCCTTGAAAACAAGAATAAATGTTTCATTATATAACATTTAAGTTTTAAAAAATTCCTTCATTTTACAATTTAATTGATAAAATATATTTTATTTACTTATAATATTACTTGACATTTATTGTCACTCACCTATTTGTTTTCAGGGTCATTTAGCTATTGCTCAATATGAAGCCAAGCATAAAGCTGATAAAAAAATAACAGTAATCACCCAAAATGTTGATGGCTTACATGCTAGAGCTGGCACTAGTGAATTGATTGAACTCCATGGAAATCTGTTCAAGACTAGGTGTAACAAATGTAAAGAGGTCTTGGTCAACAATGATAGTCCAATATGTGAAGTGAGTTTAACATGTTATTTAATTCATTAAACCCAAGTGAACACCAGCATTTGCACACCTATTGTCTCTTGAATTATCAGTATAGAATGGTTAAATTCCTACTCCTTTGCAAGTTATCTGATACTTAGTTCAAGTCTTTTCATTGTAGGTTTTAATTTATGCATTTTAAAAAAATTTCAGGCTCTGGCAGGCAGAGGTGCACCAGATCTAAATGTAAGAGGTTCAGATATCCCAATCAGTGCTCTACCACATTGCCAGAAACCTGAGTGTGGTGGTCTTCTGAGACCACACATTGTATGGTTTGGAGAAAATTTAGAAATTGCGGTATTAGAGAAAGCCAGTAAGTTTACCTCTTTAACATTTCCAACAAAAAATATCTTAAGATATAATTATCTAAGATATTTTAACTTGCAATTGTAAAAAAATTAATAAGATTTAAAGAAATTTTAATTTAATTCTATCGAATGGAACATAAAAATGCCCAGATTTTCAGGTTCTGGAACCAAAACTAAAAAATTCAGTTTTGACAAAATAAAAATTTCTCTTTGCAGAAACAGCAATGTCAACCTGTGATGTATGCTTAGTAGTGGGCACATCATCAGTAGTGTATCCCGCTGCTATGTTTGCCCCAGAAGCAGCTGCTCGAGGAGCAATTGTTGCCGAGTTTAACTTGGAACCAACGCCTGCAACTTCAGATTTCCACTTCTACTTCCAAGGACCTTGTGGCACAACATTGCCAGATGCTTTATCAGAATAAAGAAAAAATACACAGTACATAAAAACTAAGATTTCAGGATAATATTGGAAAAGCCAGCAGAGCTAATTCTTTCATTGTTTTTCGAGATGTATAAATCGTCTGATTTCTCCTTCTACCGAATGAGGCAAGCAGATTTATAACTAATGCCTTTCGTTCGAGCCAGGCTGCGTTTTTTTCATTATTATATATTTTTTCATTATAATTTTCGAATTTATATGAAAACAATAAAGTAGTAAAATATTTACTATAAAGAATTTTGGTACCTATTTTAAGTTACAACAAGAATGTGTTAGCAATAGCTATAACTGTGTATTGTGTTAGGACTTTAGGAGCATAGCTCGATAATGAAATCATTCAACTGCATTAGCCAAGTAAATATTACTATATGTAGTTTAATGCTTAAAAATTGAAATTAAGTGTGGGGATTTTTTATTATCACGACAAAGTCATGTAGTCAATGTAAACAAATCAATAAGTTGATAGAGAGTGCCTTTGTACAATCTTTGCTTAAGCTGCAGTTCTGATAATTCGGCTGATAATGAACAGCCGACTGTATAACTGCATTACTTGTAATTTTATACATTTTATTTGTAGTTATGTACATATTAAGATTGTGAACTTATTACAAATAATAATAATATTTATTTCCGGGGGCCCATTAATTGAGTTTGCCAGTCACTGTCTACTGTTTATCCGTATGTATCAATATTGGTCAGGGGCAGGGGCATTTCCATAGTTATCATATCCACCAGTCCATAGCAACTCATATTCATAACCCTATCAATTTTTACCACATTTCACAATAGTCTTGCATTAACCGGGGATGTCCTTGGGTGCACTTATATAGTGCATACAGGGATAATTGCCGGCTGATGTCCCATCACATTTAGATTAAAACTGTTCAACGGGCCTCTGCGAGTTGGCTTCGGCTCCTCGTACGCCTTCCAAAGGTCCGGGACCCTGTGGTGCCGTGAAAGGATAGATATAATAATATAGGTACTATTACTTACATAGTATCCATTGATATATATATTTATAATATTTAGCATATCATCAACCAGTTGTCTCCAAAAAATATATTATGCAGTGTATAACTAAATATAAAATCAATCTGTATCATAGCATTAATAAACTGTTTTGTCATAATTTATAATATAAGTAGTACTTTTAATGTATCTATGTTTTTATCATTGTTATAATTCTTGTTATTGTTAATAGAAAAAAATGAGGAACAAAAATTCGTTTCAATTTAAAAAATGGTAAATTGTTTGATTTCAAATTATCATACAAAGCTAATTCTCACAGCTTGGCCATCAGCTTGGTTGTTGTCGTGTATAAATGTCGAAAGTTTAGAGAACGACACTTGACCTTTCGTGGCGAATATCAGTTTTGATACATAATAATATCCGGGTGTGGTTCTTGCAAGGAAATTTTTGTACCATTATTTTGCCACAACTAACACATCTTACTACACATAATGCACCACATTTTCGTTAGATTTGAATAATTTATGAGGCAGAAACAGAAAATAAATGTTATACTAATTGTTATTTTTGAGCATTTATTTTTATTTAAAGCTTTCCAGTTTTTTATCACAATACATTCCAGAAATGTTATAACTGGTAGAATATTTTATAAAAGATTATATCGCACATGCAATAGGGATACTAAATTTATTTCAAAGAATACTAAGATAATACATATACATAATATCTAGTTTATAGTGGTACTATTTCCACTTATATTGTCATGTATTAAGATCTTCATGTTTTCACTTCACAAGTTTATTTTGACATTTCATTTCTCTTTGTGTCTTGCAAAAAATTTCGCTATATTACTGATTGTCGTTCCAAAATTACAATTCGATATCAGCGATTTCTGTAACAAAAATCCTTACTGTAATGAAATGAAATTAGTCATAGTATTGTACTTCCAAAATCTAAAAGCTAAAATTAAGTGACTAGGTACTAAATGAAAATATTTTTACTGTAGAAAAGTTCGGAGGACGGCTCAATCTTCCCCTTTCCCCAATTTCTAGAAAGCTAGCATCGTAAACAACTGGTGATGCGGTAATTCAATGTGGCGCCGATTGCTTACCACCAGTGAATGGTCGTTTGCCGCCATTTTGACTTCCTCTTGTGTCGTGGGTGCGTTTACAAACATACAATTTCACATACACATCACACCCGAACCGAAACAACAATTTGTGGAACACACAAAGAGTTGTACCGTTATCGAACTCGCGACACGTTGCAAAGCAGCCACTGCACCAACCGTGCAGTCAAGTTTCAAGTTCATTCCTATTTGAAAAAGAAAATTACTGTAGGTACCTGAACAAATGAAGGTAAAGCGGACATAGTTTGAGGTCTTGAGTATCGTTCATCCACCAATAACACGCAAGAATAGTCATTTGCGTGTCTCACGGCTCGACCTGTAATCATATAATTATTTTCTTTCTCTATAATAATTAAAAATATTACTTATTACATTACATTTTGCTATTTGTTTTACACCTATTGTGGGTTATAGTTATAAAATTAATTATGTGGTACAGTTATTTATGAAGTTACTCGACTAGTTTCAGGCTACGCCAAGGCCCCAGAATTACAAGCAGTATGGGCGCACTTCGTTTTGGTAATGGCAAAATCATCAAATGGCTTCTCCCACCAAGGGTGTGGCGTGAGGGAGTGTAAGACTCTTACTGACTGACCGCCTCCCCGTTACTTTTCCTGCTCTAGGCTGAGGCCGCGGTGCCTCATTGCGCTTTCCCCGGAACCCTGGCAAAACATCAGCCCTAAAGGGCCTCGTCTGTGGTAGTCAATTGACTCTTTGAGGCGCGCGCGGAAAGCTACGTATACTCGGGTCTGGTTAATTAATCGAACGTACGCTCAACTAATCGAATAACCTCGCCAAACAGTTATACAAGCCAGTTTCAGTACCTTCATTTAAGTACACGATTCAGTTATTTTACACATAGTTGATACAAATTACGTTACTGACAAGTACTATTGTATATTCAAATTCATCCGATGCATAGTGGTTATAGAGACTTTGTGAAAGCAAATTCTAAGTTATTCTTTATTAATAACAACTAACTTAATTCTTATTGTGTCTACTCCAGTAGGTAAATATCAACAATATACTCACCAATACACTGGTTCACGGCTTTCATACAGAGGTTCTCGTAGTAAATATTCCCCGCGCTTCCGCCTGCGGTTTTATTCAAATAGTTCATCTTCTCCTGCAATTCTGGTGATTTCACGTTCGGGTAAGGCATGCCCACTACCATAACGCATCGTCCGAGATCATCGCTAATAAAGAACAAATTAAAAGTTTTCATATCCATCAAAAATACACAAAAATGTTTATTTTTCTAGAATCTGCACAAATATTGACATTTTATTTTAATGTTGTCAGCAAACTAGCAGGTAATAGTAAGCAATCAGCGCCCCTATGGGGACTCGAGTACCACAGTACTTACTACAAGTATTGCCAGCCTTTTGCGGGTTATAGGGATTTAAGGATAGGTGATTTGTGATTTGTGGATTGGGGATGGGTGAGGGGTAAGAGGGGGAATTGGGCCTCCTGTCACCTCACTCACACTTAAAAACTTTTCAGTAAAATATTATTATTACGTAAAGAACACACCTTACTAAATTACTTACCTAAAGTTCAATCCCTCACTCAGTTTCCCACCGACAACACTCAACAATAAAGCGCCGTTATGATCTCCATCCTTATTCTTCACAGCTAATGCAAATTTGCTTAGAACCTACAAAGAATTAGAAATTAAAAACGACAAAATCTCTTGTCATATAAAAAGGAATTTTATTCTTAAAAAAATACAGTTCAAAGTAGAATCAACTTATAAAAATATTAAATTATACTATTATCCAGTACAAGATTGAATCTTATTTCGAAGCCAATACGTAGCAAAATACACTCATATCAAAAAGTGGTATTTAATGCAAAAATAAAGATTAAATTGTTTAATTCTCAGAAAATATCGAAAAAGTTTTAAAATATCGTAATCAGTTAAACATTGTTTTATAATTCGCGCCATTAGTAAAGCAATTTTAGAATATGCTACAATAATCATTATTTTTAAACGGTTTTCCTCGGTTCACCCCGTTTGTTTTATATATATTCTTTATTCTTGGGTCAAATTTAGTAATTCAAATTTCACCCTCTTCCTGTCAACCGATTAATCTGAAATTTTGTGCCCCACGGTTTTATTTTAGCTAGTCTATGCATATGTTTATAATTCCCACGACTGTATCTATTTTATAATTTTTTGGTATTTAGTACATTTATATAAAACCACTATAAAACCGTTTAACTTAAAAAGTTTCTTTACCAATTTTTATTCTTATATTAATTTAAAATTTTAAACTTGGAACGTAAAGAATTATGCCAGGATGCTTCAAATAATATGTCAATATATCGTCAAATTAATAAAACCTATTTTTGTTTTTCTTCATTAAAGTAGAGAAAAAATCTTAAGAACCCATTATTTATGCTTTACCTGGTCGACATCTGACGCAGATTTCGGTTCACGGAATATGGCTTTCTTCTTAGTGATAGCTTCAATAACTTTATTGGTTTTTAGGTGTTCGTATACAGTTTGCTCGTAGGAGTACGAAGGTAAGAAGCATACGACGCCTCCAGGAACAATGATGCAGATATTTCGGAGGATACGGCCTACTTCGCTGAGCTGTGGAATTATTTATTATATTAATGCGACATTAACATATACTTATAATAGAGAATACAATTTACAAAAAATACCTAATAATCAAATGTCAGGCTTGCGCCCATTTAAATTTTAAATTCATCTGCGAATAAATCACAGTTTGAGTGGGCTTCCATGAGTCTGTTTAACGCGGAAAGAACGGAATATAAGTTGTAAACTGATCATCCTACCTAATAATATTAAAAACGCTCGTAAGTACCTATAAATGGCTAAACGGTTGGAAGTAACTCTTTCAAGTCAATTCTACTGAAGATTTTGTATCCATGTTTATAAAAGCCAATATTACTGGTTCTTTAGTGAGCGGTGTAGAATTTGCGTGATGAAAAAGGGTTCCCAAAGGTCATCCATTAAGAACGTCCCACTCACAGGACTGATGTCCAGCTGGGGTTGGGAGTCAAATGCAATAAGGTAGATCCTGCGGGCTGGGCCTAGAGCAGGTGATGAAAGGGGGGGGGGGGGTTTAGTCAGTAAGAGTCTGACACTCCCTATTGCTCCACCAGAGGCGAGAAAAGTGATTTTGATGATTGTCCCCTCAAAAAGAAAAAGGCTCGGATGCTTTGTCGGATGGGTCGGCGTAACCGGAGTGATGCTTCGGCCTCACAGAAAACCAACGTGAATCAACACTGAACGTTGTGTTTCGCCGTGTGAGTGAGGTTATGTTATAACTATGGGCGGCGCCGATTGCTTACCAACTCGGCAAAACACGCTGTGGTTGCTTCACGTCGGTTTTCAGTGAGGCCGTGGTATCGAGCCGATAGAGCCGACCCTTTCATTCTGAAGCATCGCTCTCCCACATTTTGTTTGTTGCAATTGAAAAATTGCAGTTCCGCTTTCGAAAATTGACACCATCATGGTGAGTCAACAAGTTTAAAGGGCTTGATATATTAAAACTTACCAATTCATTAGACATCCTATTCTCATATGAGAAGTTGAGACTGACATTGGTGGGTCCCTTAGAGAGACATACTCCCAGTACATTCTGTGGTGGCACTACATGTTCACACCTAACTATGTTTAGGGAGTCAGTACCGTTTTTATTACTTGTCAGTAACGCTTGGAACTCTGATATAGGCTCCATTGTACCCCCTGCTACTATCACCTGCAAAAAAAATAAGTTTAAACATTTCGAAGGGAATCCTTTTTAAGTATCCTACATTCATTTATATTTTAATCCAGCATTAACAACTACAGTGTTGAGTATCACCTTGTGAGTGAGGTTACCAAAGGCCCATTCTTTCCCTACCTCTAATCCTCTATAATTCCTAAATCCAAAACGGCTACTTCCCAAAAGTGCGGCAACAAACTAGAAAGTTCTTCAGTGTTCCAGATATTTAGGAGCTATTTGCTTACCATCAGGTCATTTGAGAAAATTATAACAAAGTCAGTAATTATTTGTCTGGCGCTAGCATAGTTATTATTATCAAGTTGTTCAGCGTTAACTTAATTACGAGTTCAACGTAAAAATTTACAAATGTAGGCGGCATCCAAGTTGTCATTGTGTAAAACGTAAAGGAAGTGTTAAATAATATTTAAAATCAAATTATACTTACAGACCGACACTGCCTGACGACTTCAGAGAAATGTTCAGCTGGGTTCAGTAACAAATACTTGAGTTGCCCATTCTGGTCTCCTTGAGCCAACACACGTCCGTTCTCACTGCGGTCGCAGAGCATTTCCAGGAAATCCAACACTGCGTACAATCCACTACCTGCTGATGTTTCTGTTGGCAACTGAAAACATGACATGTGTATTAGGATAAGGTACTATTTGTTTTATTGTTGTATGTTGTATAATGTCGTTGTAGCTCGGTGGTTAAGGCCTTAGCAAGTTCTAATGTGACTTTTCCGAGTTACATATACTTTTTATGATTATTTAAAAAAACCACTGGCATACAGGAAACGAAAGCGTCGTAAAGAGAACCGGACTGAATTCATAAGTTTTAAAAAGTTATCGGCTAGCTCAAATTACTTGGTGAATTAGAAATTCTAAGGCCAGGATCCTCACAGTAATTTGCGGTTCGGAAATAACAGCGCCAAAGATCATTTCAAAGTTCCAAAGATTATAACGAAGTGCTCGTCTGCAGTTTCGAGAAAATTTCATTATTTACTTACATTCGATTGAACTCCAACATTTTCTTTAACTTCCGGTTCAACATCAGCAACTTTTTCATCCTTCTTCTTAGAAATATTCTTCATAAACATTTCGAACGAACTTTTTTTGCTAACCGTACTTTTCTTCATCTCTTCTTCGAGTGCTTGTTGACTGTACCGCATAGAGAAACCATGTAATTTAGGAGCTAATCTAGTGTTTCTACAGAATTCTACCAAAGGTCGCAAATTCATGTGATCTATTTCAGCCTTTATTACAAAGTCTTCAAGGGTAAAAATCGTAGTTTCATCTTGTTTTCTATCGTTCGAAGTTTTTGGTTTTATCATACCTGAAATTCATTTCAAAATATATGTATATAAGATATAAAATCTCGAAAAGTGGTACCTAGTGGAAAAGTTTTTGTCAAGCAAGGGATTTAACAGCGGGAGAGCCAAGCTTCGGCGCGACAGGGTCGTCTCGACCGGAGCGATACCAGAGCATCGCGGCAAACCAGCGTGAACAAATCACAGCGTTGTGTTTCGCCGTGTGAGTAGGGTTACCGGAGGCCCAATCCTTCCCCTCCCCCAATCCCTTAATCTCTAAATACCTCATACCTGCCAAAAGGTCGGCAAGCACTCGTGACTCCTCTGTTGTTGCGAGTGTCCATGAGCGGCGCTGATTGCTTACCATCAGATAACGCGCCTGTTTGTTTGCCAACCAATCACATAAAAAAATTATACTCGCCTAAAAGCTTCCCAACGACAAAACTAAGTTGATTCAAAGTCAACAAATTCTTGCTACTCAACCTCGCTCTATACTTATTGATATAAAACTGCAAGAAGGTCTTCACTGAGCTCAGTTGTTTCATCGATACAGGTGCTGAGTGAGCATTTTCTAAGGCTGCGGTCAGTCCATGTGCCTCATCCAGTATTAATATGTTATTATCAAGTTTTAATGATATACCGGAGCGGGCACCTGAGCTTACTATGCCCGCGTGGCTTATGAGGACCATCTGTAATAGAGATGTTTGGTGTTAAGGAAAAATCGGCGTAATTTCTACGGTATTAGAGATCATTTTAAAAGGACTGTTGAGATTTAAGCGAATATTTGTGATCATTGGTCTTTGTGTAGTTTGTTTCTGTCTCATTCTAGCAAGGTTGTTTGATTAAATGGCCGCGTTGTTGCTGGAGTTCTTTTGTTTTACATGGGACTCCATAATTATTGACCAAAGTTTGCATCCAGGTTTAAGTTCTTTGAAAAAATAAGACTAGTTCCTCTTGAAGAAAGTATAACTTCTGGGTTCCATCTAATATTTCTTTAAGAAGATCTACTCGACTCATAACCTCGGTCTAATAAAGGGATACTCAATTTACAATAAGTAATATTACCTCTGCATCCTCCATCGCCATTCTAGAAGCATAATATGGACATGCCTTCAGCTCTTTACCAGACTTGACTAAATCCTCCATATCCATAATGTCTACCAACATTCTTTCCTTCAATCGAGTTATATTTGTCTGGTTATAATAAGGACAGGCGGTACATGCCTTTGTTTTCGTCTTCTTAAGTACTTTCCCTTCTTCCCCTACGGACGTTGATTTCGATTTAGATTTCTGCATGTCGAGACACCTGTAAGGTAAAAGACCAATTTAGAGAAATTTCATATTACACAGAATACTAGCCCGCCGTAGCCTCTAAAAATCGCTGCAACTTCTGTAAACCAGGATCTACAGTGGATATGAAAACATTGGAACACTGAAGTCTGAAGAAGAGAAGACTCTTCGATCCCGCAACGAAATAAATGAGAAACGAAAATTTGATATTTGTGTTATTGGTGATATTAAAAGAGGGATTTGAGAAAAGCATGTGTTGAGATCTGTTGTGTGCAATGGAAAAGGCTAAAGTCCAGGAGTGAGCAAAAAAAAAGATGAGAGTTAGGTATAGGACAAAATAAATATACCTTAGTACGGTAGTTTCCAACTAGTCAAATTCAATACTTTGATCCAAATGTCAAAAACGATGCTTTTCTATGAAATTTGTATGAAAAACGTCAAACAACGTACTTATTTCTTAATAAAAATTAGCTCAAAAATATCTAAAATTTAGACTATCAATCGATTGATAAATAAAAGTATAGTTATTTTTCGATACTTCATTGTATTGAAACGTCGCATTAATTTATTTTGACCTATGAAACTATCTAATTTAGTGTATATGTATGTATAACATCTTAACCGCATGAATTAAACCGGAAAAGCGAAAAAAAACTTGTCAGAACATTCAATGGCTGAGAATATAGTAATTTATTAAAATTCCTAATGAATAAATCTTACCTCTCATTAATAAGATTAACATTTTTCAGCTTTGTCACTTCGGAATTGATGCAGTAATGTTGTCTAGAAGCTAGGGTGACTACTCTTGTATCTTCTTTGAAAACAGTCCTTTTGATCTCTCCTATAAACTGAGACAGCTGGCTATGTGTTCTACTACTTATGTATATCTGCAAAGTGGAATGTGATTAGAAATTGGTTGCATGGTTGGGGTGGTGAACAGGCAAAAAAACTACTGTGCAATGTCTTATGGTATCACTTCCCACATGGAATAACTCTTATATTATTATTATTTATAGCTATTCTCTCACGGTTTCGCCCACTGCTTGGCTCCATTTAATCGTATCTGATGTTTTATAGCCTATAGTATTCAGGAACATTGTAGCTAACTATCAGTGAAATAATTTTGGCTAACCGACCAGGGGTTCCAGAGATTACCCCGTAGATACAAACTTACAAATTTTACCTCTTTATAATATTAGTGTAGATAAGTGTGAATCAAATTGTTGTTCGGGCTAGATGTCGTGTATATGTATGTGAAATAATATGTTTATAAATGCGACATGCCCTTAAGACTGGTGTAGGGCAGCCTTGTTTTTTAAAGATAAAAACATCCAGCTACTGTGGTACTTGAGAGAGTGTAGGTAAATTGGAAGTTGATCTCGTTAAAAAAACACACTGCCTTATTTGCTAAGTTGTGACATGAACCAATACATTATTTTTGAGAAAAATAATAAACTAGAGAACACCTGAATGCACAGATAAGCTTGACAGGCATTTATATTTTTTTGTAGGCATGTAAGCCTTACTAAACTTACTTTTGTCATTTGTTCCCTATCCTCCTCTGTAACTTCTTCTGCATCAGAATCACCATCCTCTTTTTCCTCAATTTCCTCTAAAATAAGATCTCTGTCTTCTTCACTTTCCTCTTTTACTTCAATAACATTCTCTTTGTCTTCTATTACTTTCTCATTTTTATCTTTCTTATTAAAATAGAATTCTATTGTTTTGTTTGCTGAGTTTGTTTTCTGTTTGGTAACCCGAACTTTCATCTGTTCAAATAACTCTTTTTGTTTTTTTATTTTATCTAGTTTTAGTTGTAAGGATATGAGATTCTGATTCTTTTTGATCTTCTCATATTCTTCAGTGAGCCAATCGTCGGAAGCTGAAATATAGAAGATTATGTTTTATTTTAATGTCTTGTATAAAAACTTTAGCAGATTAGTAAATTAATAGGAGTTATTTAGTTTTTTCAAATCAAACATTCCTATTAATAAACTGGCTGAAAAGTTCTTTAAGTTTAATAAATTAATATCATACAAATTGATTTTATTTTTATAAAATTGATTTTGTGTTGTTCTTTTTTCATATAACCAACTAGTTAGCCAACTAAACTATTTACACAGAACATTCTCATATACTAATTAGACTCTTTGCAGAACATTATCATCTTTTACATTGACATATTAATAAATAATTAGAGTGAGTTACATTTCAATAAATAAAAATGTACCACATTATACCTGCATTGTTTGATATTTCTGCCTTCAATTGAGCCACTTCTCTTTCTAGATCTTGAAGTGTTTTCTGATTACTGTCCCTCAACCATTTTAGAACTCCACAGCAAATACTTAGTGACTTACCCTAAAACCACATACATATTAAAATATTTCCAATCAACAAATTTATTGAATTATGTGTATCTACCTTGTTGCTAAATAAAATACAATTTAGTTGCTTTTACTGCTGTTTGAAGAAAATCAACATAACCTGTTTTTGTTCCAGTTTACCTCATTACTTCATTTTACCTAATTAAATCATAACAAGGTTGCATTGCAAGACAAAGTAAAACCAAACAATAAGCTTACCGTTCCAGTAGGACTTTCAAATATTCCAAGTTTTTGTTGTTCTAAAGTAATGTAAAGTTCTCTCATAAACTTTTCCTGAATATCATAGGGTTTAAAAGGAAATGGAAATGTTATCTCCATAACTTAATAAAATTGTTTATAATTTGTATTCACACTAAACGAGTACAAAATACTTGGCAAGGGAAAAACAAATAATTAAACTTCTTTTGGCAATTACATCAAAACATTTTGTTTCCCGCGGCCCATCGTAATTTTGACAGCAGATATTTTCCCGATCGAAGAAAAGCTACTCCAATAACAATCATAGTTGATTTTGGTTTCGTCTAAAATCGACTATTTTTGATACAGTCTGCATTTCTACAGTTTTGGACCACGGAATTTAAACAATTCACCTCACTATATTTGTAATTGTCAATGTCACATTAAATCCAAATCTGTCAAAACGGTGACGAAAGAATAAATTTTAATTTCTAAAATAGTTCAATAATTTTAGTTAAACAAGTTCTTTTTCTATAATTAACATTCCAAGTTCTATAGTTTTATATTATTTACAACATGTCTCACAAGTAAGTATATTGCAATTATGGATAAAGCGTATTGTTTGATCCAAAAATTCAAAATTGTTGAGTGATTTATAATCATTTCTTTTTAGCGTTAAAATACTACCTGGGGCTACTGTTTGCGAAGATTGTACATTAGAAGGAGATATTACAATAGGTGGAGGCACGGTAATCCACCCCAGAGTGACAATCATTGCGGAAGGTGGACCCATAATAATAGCTGAATATTGTATCATTGAAGAATATTCTACTATTATTCACAAGTAAGAGTGTAATCGATTTTAATATGCATAAATACAACTGTAATATGATTCTAAATTGGTGAATTCTATCAGCAGATGCTTAGCAATATGCATTATTATCAGTCATTGTAAATCTGCATCCACTTAGGAAACAACTTCTAAGAAAGTATTTACTCAAGCATTATTAATTTTCAGAAAAAGCGACAAGCAAGAGAATCCTCTGAAACCCTTATTCATTGGAGCTCACAATGTGTTTGAAGTTGGCTGCAAGCTGGAGTCTCCATGTGGCCACATAGGAGAGAGCAATGTTTTCGAATGCAGGTCATTTGTGGGTGTTGATGTCAAAATAGGAAGTGGATGTGTCATCGGTAAATTAAAATTTGTCCATATAAACAAAATAAATGTAAATAGAAACTGTATTAACATAATTAAATTATGCTATTTTTAATGTAGCTTGTAGCAAGAAAAAACCTTGTTTATTTATCTGTACAGTGTACATTTGAGTTTCAATCATTATAGTCACCCATAATATATTTCTTATTAATATTTTCAGGTGCAGCATGCCGTCTAACAGCACCACAAACTCTAGCAGACAACACTGTGATATGGGGCTCTGACCATCATGTCCGAGAAGCTTTAGAGAAACAGCCATCACAGCTTTTACAACTAGACTTTTTAAGCAAAGTTATGCCTAATTACCATAGATTGAGAAAACCCAATGTCCATAAAAGACAACCTTCCACAAGACAATCTCAAGAATCATCCCCCAAACCATAAACAATGCTAAATTAATTCACTGTGCTGCTGTATAATATTAATTCTACTCATTTGTAGCTTGTAATGCACTATGTTAAGATTTTATATAATTTATTTATAGCTTTCACTTAATAATCAAGTATTTTGATAGTGAAATAATTTGCTATTATTTTACTCCCTTAAGTATTTTTAGCCAACTAAGCCCTATTTTAAAAGGGGTTGGGGGGGAATTACCCAATAACTTTTCCCCTGAACGGGAGTGTTAGACACACTAACTTAATACTACCGTTTTTTCTATTAAAGTTGTGTTTCATCATTACACTTACCGGGACCGCAATCCCAAACCCTCCCAAACATCAGATTTATTAAGCCACATGCATCTGCATCTAACTTACACAAACATAACTTGTCAATTTGTGCATACATCAACAGAAGTTAACTTTTTCTTAGCCCTTTAGATCTCTCCTCTACTGATAGCACAAGAATTAAGATCACAGCTAAATCACACACATGTGGTAATCTTTAGTGCAAAACTGGTGAAATACAGTGTGCTCACAAATGTATGGTCTTATAAAGTTATGGGGATTTCATACACAACATAGAAATGTAGGTACCCAAAGTGGCTTAGGCCTTTTTTTGTCAGCGTGAAATCATCAAATGACTTCTCCCGGCCAGGGCAAGGCAAGAGAGTGTCAGACTCTTACTGACTAAACCCCCCCCCCCTATTCCTTCTCCTGCTCTGGGCCGAGGTCGCGGTGGCTCATTGCGCTTAACCCGCAACCCCGACTGAACATCAGCCCTATAGGGCCACGTCTGTAGTGGTCTACTGACTTTTTGAGGAGCGCGCTAAACGGTCGGGCGGCGAGCAACCCTTACTCGCCATCCACAGACCCGCGCTTACGGTGGCCGGAGATCTCTCCATACCCGACGCCCGAAATGCCGCCTACTGCGGCGGCTGGGGCTTACTGTTCGCAGTAAAGGAAACGGCTTTCCAATTCCTCTCGCTACTCGGGCGACTAAGGCGGGCGGGAGAGGTTATTGCCGCCGATCACTTCCCCAAGGACACGGCGGTGCTCAACCCAAGCAGGCCACACCGCCACCATAATTATGCTCTACCACCCGGTACAGCATAATTATGTTATACCTCTGGGTGGTCCTCACAATGACGTCACTCGGGCATTTCCTCCCGCCGGATCCGAAACAGGAACCTACCGAAGCTAAAGTGTCCTGGGCCTAGCTTTTTTCTAATAAGCTGATACATAACAAAAGAAGTCTTTTTATTCGAAAAATATATTATCATTAAGTTATTAGACAACAGATTATCGCTACATTAAAAATATGTTACAGTAGTACTTAATTGTGTTTTTACCCGACTGCCAAAGAAGGAGGGTAATGTTTTTCGAGTGTATGTAAGTATGTATGTATGTCTTTTCCTTTGTGACCTCCTGTAGCCTAAACGGCTTAATGGATTTTGATGTATGAGGTATTGTTAGATTTGTCTTGATTACGGGAGTGTCATAGGATACATTTTATCCTAAAAGTCCCACGGGATAAAGACATAATAATATTTTTTCTAAATTTCCCTTTAAAAAAACAGCTAAAAAGTTATAAATAAAAAAATTATTATTAAAAAAACAAAATACCCGACTGCACACTAAAAAAAGAGTAAAACAAGCCCCACAATACAAATTTACTGAATATAATTTATAAATGTTGATGGAAAGCATCGCAGGCGGGGACCACCTTGACCGCCACCAACGAAAATTCTGCTAAATGGTGCACAACAGAAATGACTATAAATAAGCCTCTGTTGGTCCTGCGATGCTTTCCATCAACATTTATAAATTATATTCAGTAAATTTGTATTGTGGGGCTTGTTTTACTCTTTTTTTAGTGTGCAGTCGGGTATTTTGTTTTTTTAATAATAATTTTTTTATTACCATAATTGTTGTAGTTTCGTAATTAATTACATTTTGAATATCTTGATAATGAAATTAGTAGATTTTGTTAAAATAGAGTTACTTATTTGTTATCTGTGCCTACACACTAGAGTGTTGCCAATGACAAAATAATTTTACGTGACTGCTAACAAAAAAAAAAAACAAAATGAAAAATAATAGGATGTCGTCTCGGTTGGAGCGTCATCGATTTCTTTAATTTTGAAGAATTTGTTTCTTTTATTACGCCTACCGTTGATTTTTATTTGAAAATCGTTTTAGTGTTTTTCGTTGTTTGTTTTCCTTCACACTATACGCTGGGTTAAGTGTGGAAGAATTTGTAGGGCAATCAAAGGTTTACATACTTTGATTGTTCCAATACATACATACTGCTTTTCAATAAATATTGATGATACATCAACGGCTGTGAGTAGATAGTTTTGTTGGGAATTGGAGTAAAAGAGCAGGAGCAAGAGTTCTCTGTTCTGTTTTGTAGTATTGGTTGCGGACGCCATGTTGTTATTTACTTTGTGATTTTACTACGGGGAGGTAGTGCTATGGGTATATTATTGTGTTGTGCCGCTGCATCGCGTGTGTGAGAATGTTAGAGGATGTACCCGTCCACGGAAGTCGGAGCGACGTCCGAACCTCCAAAGCCACGACCCATCAGAGAAACCTTAGTCTGGATTTCAGGTATGTAAATTTTGCTGTCCCGTTTTCTACTTTTTATTAAGACATAAACGTATTATAGATTCTGTGTCAGATCGTTTAGTGACGACCGTGTCACCGTGCAAATTTTCCAAGTTTACTTATGTTCAGTGTGCTAGTAAACAGAAACTCAACACAACTTCATGTTGTTTATTTTTCATCATTAGTCATTCATTTTAGACGTGTACCGTCTATAGGATTTAAAAATGTTTATCAACATCAAATTATCTACATTCTGATACAGCAATCTTCTGATAAAATTTAATCATTACAAATTTAAATCTGCATACATTATTATTCATTCTCTTAAGAATTTAGAATGTGCTAGACCAATTAAATTTTTTGTGACAATTACGGGATTATAAATCATTATTGTAAAAAAAAACAAGAAGCATAAAGCATTAGCTACATGCTAGTTTAATTACCAAAGGCTTTGGGGCAACGGGTTGTAATTTTAGAGGCAATAATTATAATATCTCAAGAACACTGAATACACATGCACTTATAGACTACATTTTCCTAATAAAATTGTTCTAAATAAAGTTAATGTCTCTAACAAAACCAAATTAATTAATGGCTATCACAATTTTAGGGCACATAAAACCAAGATTATCTATAATTTATTATCTTTTTATGACCTGACTCACACGCATCAACCATGCATGCACATAATGAACAGCCTATTATGTATTAAATAATAATGTATACATATAAATATCAAGTTTGGAAATATGATTATAATTCAATACTATCTCTGTTACTTGTTTAAGGAAGTAACTTGGTACATTCAATATTATTTTTCATTAAGCTACATTTGATATTCACATATCTATCTATGAACAATAATTATTGATTGATGTACAACACATATAATATAAAGTAAAACACAACAATAACAACTGCATATTCCTTTGGTATTTCGTACTGCAGTTCTTCGACAGGATAATATGACAAAAATAAAGAAACAGTGTGTAATATAACTATAAAAGAACAAAAACAGATGGTAAAACTTAAAAAATTTAAGTAATAACAAGAAATATTCAAAATCTTTTGCAAGCATTCAATGCTGATACAAAATTTCTCCACTATTTAGCTGATGTTATTATACATACAAACTTTTCTCTTGACTCTCTTTTTATATAAAAAATCACATCAAAATCATTACATAGTTTTGTTTTAAGTAATTTTACATCAGGATATAGGGACAGAAGAGAACATAAAACTTATACATATGCAATTATCTCAAAACAAAGGTCAGCCTTTATCGAATGCATTTAGAACTTGACCCCAATAAAAAATACCTAGCTGTCCTTAAATTTTATCAACGGTAAATGAATTATATATTTTAATATCTTATCTGTATGAGTCAGGGAAAGCATTTCAAATTCTTAATGATTAGTTTATGATAAGGGAATTTGTAAAAGTTTACATGTGTGTGAATAGATACTGTATGTACACAACAATTATAGTATATCCATGTCTTACAGTAGCAGGAAAATAATAATCAAAAATACTTTTTACATAAAAAATATTTTACTTGTACCTCACATTACACTTTACTTTGTTTTTATATTATGTTAGATAAAAACAGGTTTATATTGATATAAAAAAATCCAAATTCTGAGTAACAAGTTACAGTTCAAGTTTTAGGTTTCATTAAAAATAATAATGCAGATTATATTTAACAAAATTATTTGATATCTCCATTCCAGTATTAAATTACTATTATCAAGAATAACTAGCTAAAATATGTATTCATAACTACAAAATGAATTGACTATATATAGTACTATGTCTTAATTACTAAGTACTTATCTCTATAGATATTAATCATTGAATAAAAAGAGAGACAGTATCTATCAATCAAAATTCACAACTCATTAAAAATTGAGATCTTTAAACTTATATCTCTGTATTCATTATTTAATTATAAAAAAAAATCCTTTGTCTATAACATTAATTTGCATTATAATTTATAAATATGTTATAAATATATTATAGAAAAATATAATATTATAAAATTATAAAGACTTTACAGCCATAGAATATGTTTTGATGACTTAATTAGCTACTTTATGTTAAGATTTGAACATTACATTACATTATAGCCTTGGGATCTGGCTCATTAATAATGTGTTGTTTCCTTTTTTACTTGCATTCCAGTGAACCACTTGTTTTATTCACATAAAAGGCATGTTCTGCTAAGTTGAACACCTGTTACTGAGTCTAAATGAAGCTTAGTAATGTTGCCAGTGTGAATATAAAAATTGCTAATTGATAACTTCATGATTGTTGATGGTTTTGATCCAATGAAGAATTAATAATGGGCTTTTTTAGTTATTTAAAACCTTGTTTTGGCTAATTTACTGTAATTTGATGGATATTCTTCTCATTCATTCTTTCTT